TCCCACCATAGCTAATATTACAGGCATGTGCCACCATGTGCAGCCCTGCACCTAACGTTCTTGAGTATAGTGGCGGATGCTGGTGGTTAGGGATAGGGTTACAGGAGCGGATATAACGTTGTGGGAGGAATATTTGAGATGATGTAAGTTCTGTATCTTGATAGTGGTGAACTACATGAATCCATACCTATGATAGAACTGCATAGAACATGGCCACAGATAGGATTTGTGCAGTATCACAGGGAAGATTCTCCAACTAAGGGACTACTCCTAGAAGTCTACAAATGGCATGCGTCCGTTGCGTCCACCACACCTACCTCTCTGGAGCTCACAGTCTCGGCCTTTCAAAGCCATCTTTTTCCTAGCCCACACCACAGCCTTTGGCAAAGAAGTTAGCCAGTTTGTCTGGGTTTCTAAATCACCTCCAGACCAGTCCTTCAGGCTCTGCCATTGCCCCCAACAGGCACTGAAGCCTCTGGTTCCAGCTGCTTTCCCTTAGCACTGATGATGCACTGCTGCCCTCTGCTGGCTGTTTGGGGTAGTACGTAGAAATCAGTTTTTAAAACGTTAGAGAGATAGGGAGTGACTAGAGGAAGAGGGGAGGGGAGAGGGGATGGGGAAGGAGAGAGAGAGAGGGAGAGAACAAGTCACATAAAAAAAATCCTTGTGTGCTAGGGGCCGGTGGCTCACGCCTGTAACCCTAGCTACTCAGGAGGCTGAGATCTGAGGATCACAGCTCAAAAATCAGCCCAGGCTGGCAAGTCCATGAGACTCATCTTCAATTAATCACTAGAAAATCAGAAGTGGCGCTGTGGCTCATGTGGTAGAGTACTAGTCTTGAGCTGAACAGCTGAGGTACAGCACCCAGCCCCAGAGTTCAAGCCCCATGACTGACCCAAAAAAAATCCTTATGTGAAAGTGAACTATACAATTCCTGGTTGGAGATGGGAGGGCCCAGTAGAGTGAGGGAAGAACAAACTGCCTTCACTGGGAACTCAAGAAATCAAGCTAAAATACTGAGAAGGGGTTGGGTATGGTTGTTCATACCTGTAATCCCAGCACGCAAAAGGCTGAGGGAGGAACAAGGCCAGCTTCAGCTACACAGCACATTCCTGATGAAAAAAATCAAACACCATACCAAGAAAAAGCCAAAAATGCCACTGTCCCTCCATCCAATGGGCAAGCACGCTGAAGGTGATGATGCCTTGGCCGGGGCGTATGGCCACAGATCCAGTACAGCGTCTGGGTCCTGGGCAGGCAGCTGCTCATCCCTGTCAGCCCGCAGGAGGTATGATCCCACATGGAGCAGGGGCTTATACACATGGGAGGGGCAGAGGCTGGCAGGGCCTTCTGGGAGTTGTCCTAAGGTACCAAGGGCCTTAACATTGCAAGGCCTCTGAATCTCAAGCATTCCACTTCTACAACTTTGCTGAAAGAAATGATGGCACCATTGGGTGGAGAATTATAATCAGAACGAATCTTCTCACCACGTTCCCAGGCAAGGCATCATATTGCATCCCCAGAGCTCGACGCAGGCCCGCTCACAGCAGAAGCTGGCTTGCTAAGGGCCTGGCCGGCCTTCCTGTGTGAAACCTGCACCCACTTCCCCTCCAGCCACGCAGGAAGGCCAGTTCTACCTCTCATCCGCTTACCATCTCCCACCAGCCAGAGAAGACATCTGATTGGTTCATTCGCTGTAGCCCTTACCACTTAAATGAATAAACGAATAGATGAATGGATAAGTGAACAAATGAGCTTCAGGCATGGTCCCGTGGTGATGAAAATGCTGTGTTGTCTGTGCTCATAGATACACAGGTGCTAAAACTGTATAAAAACTAACATAGCTGCACATATACTTAACCAAACAAATTGACCTAAGGTCTGAGGACTGAATCAATGCAAACATCCCGTGCCATGTTCTAGCTCTGCAAAATGTCCCTATGAGCGGAGGCTGAGCTCAGAGTACAGGAATCTCTCTGTATTACTTTTTATGTTTGCTTATAAAACTAAAATTGCATCAATAAAAAAAATTTTAAAAGTCCCAGGCATTGATGGCTCACACCTGTAATCCTAGCGACTCAGGAGGCCGAGGTCTGAGGATCACAATTCAAAGCCAGCCCGGGCAGGAAAGTCTGTGAGATTCTTATCTCCAATTAACCACTAAAAAGCCAGAAGTGGAAGTATGGCTCAAGTGGTAGAGCATTAGTGTTGAGCTAAAAAGCTCAGAGACAGCACCCAGGCCCTGAGTTCAAGCCCCAGGACACACACATGGGCAAAGACACAAAAAGTCACCAGGGGCTCACAGGAGACACACACACACACACACACACACACACACACACACACACACACACACGGGCAAAGACACACATGGGCAAAGACACAAAAAGTCAGGAGGGGCTCACAGTTGTAATCCTAGCTTCTTGGGAGGCTGAGAACAGGAGGATTATGGGATCATGGTTCAGTCAGCCAAGAGGTTTCAAGACTCCATCTCAACCCACAGTTGGGCACAGTGGCACATACCTGTCATCCCATGTTAGGTAGGAGGCTGAGCTGGGAGGACTGTGGTTTCAGGCCAGCCTGGGCAGAAATCTTTGAGAGTCTATCTCCACGGTTAGAGCTGGACAGTGGCTCACGCCTATGAATTCCAGCAGGCCTAACAATTGTGACTCAGGCCCAGTACCAAAGAGAAAAGGAAAAAAAGTCTGACAACTATAAATACACAAGCTAGAACATTCCTTTAAAAAAAAAAACCATGCAAAAGGCCCTGGGTTTAATCCTCCATACAATAAGTAGAATCAAAAAGTTTCACAGAAAGGTAATTTGGATGTATGCATCAATGATGCATACTGATGACTGCTAATGAGTTCCGTATTGAGAGTTGTTCCTGTACCATCTTACTGACAGTTCATAGTTGCCTGGCTCATAACAAATAAGAAAAGTCCTTAAGGTTATCTGCTGTGCCAAGAACATTCCTTTCATTTTAGACAACCTCATGTGCCAGTTCCATCACCTCACGTGCAGCCTGACCTCTTCATGTCATTTGTTCATCACTCCATGTTCCGGCTCACCAACTTTAGGAAAAGAGCCTTTACTATTGGTGGTGATCATCTCGGGTTTGGGATAGAACCATCTGGGGTGGCTTTGACCATTTCCTAATGTTACCCAAGAAGACCCATAGTCTCACCACAACAGGTACGCAAGGCCGACCCATAGGCACACCCCCATGTTTCCTCCCCCCAGACGCACCAGAAGATAGCTCTTCTGATTTTTATTTTAGGGGGGTGTTCTTTGTTTTTTGCCAATCCTGGAGCTTGAGCTCAGGGCCTGGGCACTGTCCCTGAGCCTCTCTGTACTCAAGGCTAGCACTCTACCACTTGAATCACAACACTACTTCCAGCTTTTTCTGATCATGTGGTACTGAGGAATTGAACCCAGGGCTTCATGCACGCTAGGCAAGCTAGACATGTGCCACTATGCTCAAAAAGACACATCTTCTGACATTTGTACCTGTACACATCTGTCATCTGCCAGTGTCTGAGGTGAGAACTTCAGAGCTCAGGGCCAGGCCTCTGCCAGTCCCAGCTGGCCACGTCCCATTGCTGGAGCCTCTAGCTGTGAATCTTCTGCTTCCTTGTCAAATGGCTGGGTGAATTCGGAAAGCAGGGGAGGGCCCCAGAGCAGGGCGGGGGGGGGGGGGGGGGAGGGGAAGGGGGGCAGAATCTAGGAGACCTTGTTTCATCCCTTACCGTCAAGGACTCCAAATCTCCGGATTCTGACTCCCTCGTACGTGAAGCGAGGAAGTCTGTACTAAGATGGAGAAGTATGTCAAGTACTTCACCCACGTATATTCCCAATGCCGTCATCTCCAGGAGACAGCAGGGAGGGTACAAATCAGACAGCCAAGCACAGCATCTCGGCTGTCCGAGACTGCCTAGTTAGGATCTAGAAATAGTTGGAAACATGTAAGAGGCTGGGAGATGTCCAACTTCTGTTAGGGTTTTTGAAAAATATATGGAAATAGAGGTGTGGCTCAAATGGTTGAGCACCAGCCTTGGGTGAAAAAAGCAAGAGAGCACCCGGCACTGAGTACCAAATGTGTGTGTGTCTGTGTGTCTGTGTGTGTGCGCCTTTCCCAAAACTTCTCCAAAATGTATCCCACCAAAAAACCTCAATTCTCTCTGGGTACCAGTGGCTCATGCCTGTGATGCTAGCTACTTAAAAGGCTGAGATCCAAAGATCATGGTTCAAAGCCAGCCCAGGAAGGAAAATCCCTGAGACTCTTATCTCCAATTCATCACCAAAAGCCAGAAATAGAGCTGTGGCTGAAATGGTAGAGCACTAGCCTTGAGAAAAACAAACAAACAAACAAACAAAACTCAGTGAGTGCGAAAGCTCCGAATTCAAGCCTAGGATAAGAGGAAAGACAAACAAAAAATCCATTCTCAAAATGCCTTGGTGGTTGAATGAGTGTGGGCACTGGCATCATGCCCAGGACTTCTCCGGGACCATGGTACTAAACTTCCGGTGAGGCTCTGGGCTGCAGCGAGGGTCCGTGCCAGAGCACGTGAATGCGGGCTACACGCTGGGATGAAGCCAACTCCCCAGCCGGGCGTAGTGCGGTGTGGCCCCGGGGCTGGCGGGAACACACTGAAGGACACTGAGCTCCACCAGTGCCGGGCCAGGGCACCCACTTTAGAGGAAGGAGACACCATGTCTTTAAACCGTGGAACTGAACAGCATCCACCGAGCCCAGCCCAGGCCCTACCCCCAGATCCACCATCTGCGCAAGTCCGCTCTGCAGTCATGTACAGCAAATCTACACGTTTATTGTTCTGTTCTAGAATGTGCTTTTTCCTCAGTGAGCTTTCAGTCAATCCAGGATGCCCACCTCCCCTCGAAAAAACAAAACGAGACACACACACACATACACGCATGCCACCCTCCGACCGGGAGGGAATCCCTGGCCGTCAGTCTCTAACAAATATTGACACAGAGGAGGAAAAAGCATGTTGAAATGTATTAGAATCAACCTGTACAAAAAAAAAGTTAAAATATAACCTGAAACTGTTCGAATTCTGAAAGTCTAGTCAAGTCCTTCTTCTGGCCAGGAGTACGGTGTCATCACGGGGCTGTGAGTCGCCGGTGAGGCGGGGAGGGGGGGCAGAGCAGCAGAGTCCTTCGCCAGACCCAGGCCCCGCCATGAGGCATGGAAGATCTCGCGAGAGCGGATGCTGGCAGGCAGCCCCGCGAGGCTGAGCAGTCAGAGGCCGGGAAGAGTGGCCAGCAGAGAACATCGGGCTGGGGGAAACAACTTCTGCCATCTGGGGGACCCCCAGCTCCCTCCATCGGTGCTCAGATACCAGAGGTGAGTCAGCCAGCACTGCCCACTGACGACAGATTGAGCCAGGCTCAGAGAGGCTGAAAACCCGCAGGTTTAGTAAACATAGCCCAGCATCGCGTCCCTCCACAGCCTGACTGAGAGCTGCCCACAGGGCTAAGGCAGGAGACGGACCAGCGCGAGTGGCTTCCTGGCTAGAGACGCCTGCACCATGGTGGGGACAGTGGAATGGGGGCTGGAAAGGAACGAGGTGGGGCCTCCTCTGCAGCCATCCCCAGGCCGGGCAAAGCTGCCTCCGGCTTATGTGCTGAGCAAAAGAACACAGAGACAAGAACCTCCTGCAGGGAAGGCGGGCAGGCCGACCCGTGAGGACGGAGGATGGCATCCGTGGAGCCCCTGAGTCTGAAGGGAGCATGTGGAGAGGAAGGGGTGGGAGGAGAGGAGGGTGCATGGTTGGTGGGGAGGTGCTGGTGAGGGGGGTGGGCGGGTCTGGCACTCACTGCAGGTAGAGAGGGGAGGACAGAGGCTCTTGGTGTCCCCTCCCCACCTGCCCCAGCCAGCCCTAGTGGCGGCCGGAGACCAGACCTTTCACTTTGGACATCTTCTTGGTGGGCTGCCTCTGCTCGGCGTGGGGGGGGCACTCCCGCTCAGCCAGCTGCTGCTCCATCTCCTGAGCCGACGATGAGGCGGTGGCTTTCAGTGTCTTCTTGATGTTGGTGACCTAGAGGGGGAAGCAGGAGGGGGTCAGCGCCAGCACTCACAGTAAGGAGGCCGCTCCCCAGCAGGATCGGGGAGGACCGCGCGGGGCTGCCGCAGGGAGACCGAGATGAGTCCCGCGAACAGTGGAACAGTGCTTTCTTGGTCAAAACAGGCAGAAGTGGTCCGGGTGACAGGCAGACAGCAGCGGCTGCAACCCCCACAAAGAAGGGATGATCCGAGCATTCTGGGCTCTATGACCGCCACGTGCAGAGGCACGAATATCCTCACCTGAGCACAGACCACACAACCCCACCATTCTCTCTGAACAAACAACTAGAAAATAGCATTCTGACAACGGGCAAATGAAGAAAATGTAAGAAGACACTTGCAAATGGCCACACGTGGTAAAACACAGCGGAGATGCGGGCACGGAGGAGGCTGAGGCAGAAGGACAGCGAGTTGCAGGTCAGCCAAGGCCACACGGTGAGACCAGCCAAAAGTCAAATGACAAAAAGCCGGGGACCAGTGGCTCACGCCTATAATCCTAGCTACTCAGGAGGCTGAGATCAGGATCACAGTTTGAAGCCAGCCCAGACAGGAAAAGCCATGAAGTTTTTTGTTTTTTTTTTTTTGGTTCCGGTCATGGGGCCTGAACTCTGGGCCTGGGCGTTGTCCCTCAGCTCTTCAGCTCAAGGCTAGCGCTCTACCACTTGAGCCGCAGCGCCACTTCCGGCTTTTTTCTGTTTGCTTATGTGGTGCTGAGGAATCGAACCCAGGGCCTCAGGCATGCAAGGCAAGCGCTCTACCACTGAGCCACCTTCCCAGCCCCAGCCATGAAGTTCTTATCTCCAATAAACCACCAGAATACTGGAAGTGGCGCTGTGGCTCAAGAGCACTAGCCTTGAGCTGAAGAGCTGAGGGACAGCACCCAGGCCGAGTTCAAGCCCCATGACTGGGGGGGAGGGGGGTAGAAGGGGGATTATTTTCTTTCAGTCAATGAAGTAGGGACTCAAAAAATATCTAAGCAACTTCTGAACACTTTTCCGTTCTGACACAGATTCTCCATGCCATCTGGTACTACTGCATCACATGTATGCAATAGTTTTCAAAGTAGTTCCCAGTCTGGTTTTTGCTGGCTGACTGCACAGCCCTGTGCTCCCCTCATCCTGGGTAGTGCCTGAGGAAGATGCTACAAGGGAGTGCTCTAGAACACGGCTGTGCACTCCACACTGCTCAGCACTGCTCTAAGGGCAGACTACTACAGGCTATTAAAGTTCAGAGCTTTGCAGATTTTGTAAGATTTGCATAGCTTTTACTGAGGCTCAAAAAGTTTCAGATTTCCCCTGTACCTGGCAAAATCCTATTCAAGGAGGCTGAGAGCTGAGGACTGCAGTTTGAAGCCAGTACAGGCAGGAAAGTCTGTAAGATTCTGACCTCCAATCATCCACCAAAAAGCCAGAAGTGGAGCTGTGGCTCAAGTGGTAGACTGCCAACGTTGAGTTAAAAAAAGTTCAGGAACAGTGCCCAGGCCCTGAGTTCAAGTCCCAGTACTGGAATATACACGTACGCACACATACATGCACACGTACACACGTACCTACACACACACACACACACACGGTTTCCAATTCTGAAGGGCTTTAGGATTGAGCTTTTCAAATCCATTAAGGATGCTCAACCTGTATGTAATACATTCTGAAAAGTGTACTAGTTTTTACTGGCACTAACTGGATATAACCGGGATTGAATTTGTTTTTGTAAATCTGTTTTCTTTTCTAATATAATAAGCACACAGTGAGCACCTTCTGTATGCTTCTAGCATCCACACTTGGTACCACTCAGACCCAATGGGAAACATCAAGGCTATAAGCTCTGCTTTCTCGTCCTGTACCAGTCTAGTCCAAGTTTCCTAGAAGACTATTAAATCCACACATTATTTTGACTTGTGGAGGGGGCCATGGACTTGGCCTCTGATTTCGTTCCCTCAAATATAAATCTTAGCGCCATCTAGTGACAGCAACAGGCTCTGCCAGCATTCAATATCATTAACACTTCAAGCCCCCAAAACCCCAGCTGCCAGAGAAGGACTTCCAGTGCTAACCAAGACCAGGGATTTTTCCTAAAGGATCTGTGTGTTACCAATGCAGATGACCAGGATATAAAGGCTGCAGCCTATGTCCAAGAAGCCAAAAGTGTCCTCACCAACCACACTCACAACCTACCTTCATCTTACTTCACTCACTGAATTTTTCCCTTTCTGATTGTGTGCTTAAAAAATTTCTAATACAGGGCTGGGAAGGTGGCTCAGTGGTAGAGCGCTTGCCTTGCATGCATGAGGCCCTAGGTTCAATTCCTCAGTACCACATAAGCAGAAAAAGCCACAAGTGGCACTGTGGCTCAAGTGGAAGAGTGCTAGCCTTAAGCTGAAGAGCTGAGGGACAGCGCCCAGGCCCAGAGTTCAGGCCCATGACCGACAAAAAAAAAAAAAAAAAGTTTTTAATACACATCCATTTGTTTCGAAGATAAACGAACACCAGGCACAAAACCTGTGCAAAGGAAGAACAAGGTACCCCCAAGATGGAAGCAAAGGCTCTCTTCCTCCTCACCTCTGCCTCCACCTGCTGCTGAGTCCGGTGGTGGTGCTCTTTGTACTGGTTGGCTCTGAGAACCTGCTGCTCGATGCCCAGCAGAACCGCTTCACAGCCATCACACCTGCAACGGGAAAGCAGCCCTGAGCAGCCGGGACGCTCGGCGAGTCTTTGGCCTCAGGACACCCCCTCACAAAGGCTTCCCAGCACCTTATGGGACTTACTTTAACACCTCTGACTGCCCCCCCTTCCAAAAGATCAACTGATCTTTTGTGTAATACAAAACATAAAAATGGTGCTTTGTGGGTAGTTTCTTGAGACTGAAGAAGGAAGAGAACTACAGATGGCACTGAATAGTCCCTTTCCTCAACAGGAGGCTAAAAAGCCTCCTATTTGGGGACTTGCCCTTTTCCTCAAAAGTTGAAGTTTCTTTTAATTGCACACACTCCTACTCTTTCTGATTTTCCTGTTTTTATTTTGAAATTAAAAAAAAAAAGTTTGCAGGGCACTGGTAACTCACACCTATAATCCTACATACTCTAGAGGCTGAGATCTGAGCAGAGCAGTTTGTAATTAGCCTGGGCAAGAAAGTCTATGAGACTCCTAACTAACCACTAAAGATATCAAAGTGAAGACACGGCTCAAAATAAGTTAAAAGACAACATCCAGGCCCTGAATTCAAGCCCCAGTACAGTCATAAATAGATGGACGGACAGACGGAATACTGTAAGCTGGGCACCAGAGACTCATGTCTGTAATCCTTGGCTACTTAGAAGGCTGAAAACTAAAGGATCATGATTTGAGGCCAGCCTAAGGAAACAAAGATTACTAGACTCCATCTCCAAATTAACTAGCAAAAACCAAGGCTGGAGATATGGCTCAAGTTGAAGAGTGCCAACTTAGCAAGTATAAGGCCCTGAATTCATTCTTTTTGTTGGTGTTGGTGCTGGTGATGGGGCTTGAACTCAGGTCCTGGGCACTGTCTGAGCTCTTTTGCTCAAGGCTAGAGCTCTACTACTTTGAGCCACAGCCCCACTCCCAGTTTCCTGGTAGTTAATTGGAGATAAGAATCTCATGGACTTTTCTGCTCAGGATGGCTTTGAACCTCGGTCCTTAGAACTCAGCCTCCTGAGTAACTAGGATTACAAGCGTGAGCCACCAGCACCTGGCTGAGGCTCTGAATTCAAACCCCAATAAAGCCAATAAAAAAGATCCAATACTGGATTCAATACTGACTGTACATACTTTGGTGTTTTTTTGGTATTGCTCAACACAGTAATTCTGTTCCAACCCAATGCACCAATAACTCAATAGGAATTATACAAATCTACCCTGGTAAGCACCCTTAGACAGGAGTTTGGATAATTCCTCCTGGCCAGCCATTGGGGACTGAACAGAGAAAACTGGGCATGGTCAATCATGTATGGGGATCACACTTCAAACAAAAATCTGTACATATTCAGGGCTGGGAAGGTGGCTCAGTGGTAGAG